AGGGAGCCAGAGTGGAGCAGGTGGAGCTGAGGACCACCACAGCAGAGCAGACGGGTCTGAAGATCCCCACGGTGGAGCAGAGGACACCAGAGCAGAACAGAAGACCACCTCAGCTGAGCAGACAGAACAGAAGACCACCACGGCGGAGCAGACAAGACGGATGACCACAAAAGCGGGACTGAAGATGACCACGACAGACCAGACAGATCAGGGACCCCTGGCAGAGACTGGGACCTAAGGAAAACTGAGATACGAGAGACAGGCAGTGCATTCACGTCATCAAGGATCAAGGCAGGGAACACAAAAAGTTCATCAGTAGTCTCCCTGGTGACTACTGAACGGGGACTGTTCATAAACCGGCTCACTGACTGAAAATGGACAGGCAGACAGTTCCAAATCTGGCTTATTGACTGAAACTGGACAGGAAGACAGATCACAAACAGATTCATGGGTTGATATGGGATAGACTGACAGTTCAAATTGGGTGTATTAACTGAAACTGGACTGGTAGACATTTCAAGACTGAAATTGGACAGACAGACAATTCACACTCAGATCCATTAATTGAAACTGGACAGACAGATGGTTCAAAATCAGACTCATTGACTGAAACTGGCAAGACAGATAGTTCAGGATTAGACACACTTGGGGAAACAGAACAAGCAGACAGTTCCTGAATGGTCTCTATGGCAGTGACAGGGTTGACAGGAAAGACATGGGGTGCATTTATAGTTTCTGGGCTCATGACAGGCAGGGTTAAGGGTTCAAAGGCAGGTTTTTCGGCTGTGACAGACAGTTCACAATCAACCCCCATGGCTGGTTTAGAACAGGACGAGAGTTCAGAGATGGCCTTCTCGGCCGGTTCAGAGCAGGACAAAAGTTAATAAGTGGCCTCCGTTGCTATGACAGAACAAACAGGGAGTTCACAGATAGCCTCCATAGCTGTGACAGGACAGGCAGAGAGATCACAGACGGCCTCCATAGCCGTGACAGGACTGATAAGTGGAAACCACTGACACCTCTGGAGGTTCAGCAGTGATTGCCGCCACCTCTGGAGGTTCTACAGCAGTAACATCAGGAAACAGGGAGGGTTCAGTAATGGTCTCATCCCCCACCACACGACAGGCTGTACAGCTGTGATGTGACATGACTCTGGATAAACAGCTGAGACGTGACGTGACTCTGAATGAACAGCTGTGATGTGACGTGACTCTGGATGATCAGCTGTGATGTGACGTGACTCTGGATGAACAGCTGAGACGTGACGTGACTCTGGATGATCAGCTGTGATGTGATGTGATGTTGGATGAACACCTGAGACGTGACGTGACTCTGGATGAACAGCTGTGATGTGATGTGACTCTGGATGAACAGCTGAGACGTGACGTGACTCTGGATGAACAGCTGAGACGTGACGTGACTCTGGTAGATCAGCTGAGGCGTGACGAGACTCTGGAAGATCAGTTGGAACTTGACTTGACTCATGAACATTAGCTGTGACTTGACGTAACTCATGAAGATCAACTGTGACTTGACTTGACTTGACTCAGGAATGGCGGCTGTGACATGACGGGGCATTGGTGTAGCCGACATTTTGCGAACACGCTCCGGTGCGATCAATATACTTAAATGTCCCGGAGCTTGTGGTTGACTAAATTTTGCGGCCGCCATTACCGGTACGGATGCGATGTTGTGTTCTTCCTACGTGACACCCACAGTAAATAAAGAGCCAACAGACAACAAAGCATAATCCATAAATTGACAGAGTGATGAACACGGACCCTCACGTCTAAGCTTAGACTTTAGAGGTTAATTAATGCCATCACATCAAAACACAGTCTGGTAAGTCTGAATAGTGAGCGATGGCTAATAACTCTCGAATATAATTCTCCAGCGATCATGTGTCTTGTTTAAGGGCCAACAATATTCTTGCTGTGTCCATACCTGGCCAATGTCCGTTTGAAAAGCTGCTGGATCCTTGTGTGGCCGAGTATTATGTTACGGGGCGAACGAGACGTGAGACGTGCGGATCCATCTGCATGCTTTTATTTAAAGGCATGGTCATGAAACAGGCGTGGGTCGATACACAGCAAGCAGTAATAAAAGAGGCAAGACGAAGAGTAATCCAAAGGCTAGCATGGGTCTGAGATTGGCAAACAATGTCTAGAGCTAGAGCTAGGCAAAAGAAGAATCCAAGACAGGCAGGAGATCAGGAAACAGGCAATCAGGCACAAAACTAGACGTGACTAGACTAGAGCTAGGAACTAGACAAAACTCGGAAATGGCTCCGTAACGTTGCTATCACTGACGTGGCGATAAGTGCAAACAATACTCGCCAGTGAGAGAGAGGAAGTCCATGGCTTATGTAGGGTGTGTGATTGGCTGCAGCCGTGTGTGTAATCAGAGTGAAATGGATTGTGGGAACTGAAGTCCAGGGTGAGTGTGACAGTCTGTGTAGTGTGAGAGTCCATGTGGTGGATAATGACCTCTGGTGGTGAACAAACGGAAGTCCATAGACCGGATTCGTGACAAAAACACAGGAAAACAGAAAAACACAGGAAAACAGAAGAACACAGGAAAACACAGCAAACCAAAGGAAAAAAGAAAAACACAGCAAATGAAAAAAAAAAATGGACTCAACTTAAAATGTCTGCACACCGGGGTTATTTTTTGTATCACTGAGATACTATTATTTTATTAATAATTTATTTTTTATTAAATAAAAATACTTTTTTATTAGATTATTATTAGATTATGAAAAAAAAGAAGTCAGAATTATGAGATAAAAAGTCGCAATTACCTTTTATTTTTATTATTAATATTTTTATTATTTATCCTGGGGTGGAAACAAGATTCAATAAATATGTCTATATAGTTTTTTTTATTAATTTGTATTTCAGTTTTAGTTATAGTTATTTTTGTACTTAAACTAAAAGCAATGAGAAATGATGCTTTGGCAGCTAGCTAAAATTATTTTTTTTTTTTATTAAAAAAAATTAAATGTTTTAGTTTTATTTTTATTTTTAATTTTAGTTTTAGTTAACAATAAACGTGTGAGAGTGTTAAAGGCTATATGACATGTCATAGTCAGATATGACGGCGCTAATGCAACACGCATCACCGCAGGTGAGTAGCGGAGTATGTCTACAGCAAGCTGATGTGCAAAACTGCAGCAAATGAAACTGAAAGCAATCTTTCCAGTGCTGATGCCGCTCTCTCCTGTTGCGGTTTTTGATCTTGAAATTAGCTGATGATGAGTAAAATCCAGCGCGTACCTATTGCTTGTGATGACGTGAACTCCATTACATTTGCATATAGCTCGGGAATTGAAGATCGGATTTATATCCGTTTTGTGGAAACACATTTATGTGGCCAGGTGTAAATGAAACCATTTTAACAAATCAGATTAACATCCAATCAGAGAAAACGCATGAAGTGTCGAGGTGTAAACAGGCCCAAAGCAATGTTCCAAGTTCAAAACAATGGAAGCATGTTTCAGCCACGGAATATATATATATATATATATATATAGTGACTTTTTATTTCACAATTTAATTTTTCTTGCAATTCTGAGTTTATATCTCACAATTCTGTTTTTTTTTCATCAAATAATAAAAAAAAAATCTACTTTTTGTTACAATTCTCTTTTTTCTGACAATGGCAAGATTTTATCTCACAATTCTATGTTTTCTTCTCAGACTTTTCTGACTTGTTCCATAGAATTACAATTGATATCTTGCAAACTTGCATTATATCTTGCAATTCTTTGTTTATATCTCACAATTCCGAATTCTAGATCTCAGAAATGAGGGGGGAAAAACTGATTTGTGAGGTATAAACTAAGAAAAAGTCAGAATTGTGAGATAAAACGTTGCAGTTAAATTTATTATTTATTTTTTTATCCTGTGGTGGAAACAAGCTTCCATACAAAGCTGCTGAGGTAAGCGTGTTGATGTATGTGATGTGAATACACACACACACAATGTTCATGTGTAGCTGTGACTGACCGTCGCATCCTCGATCCACCTGGCCGACCCTGTGGAGGGCGTCTGCGAGCAGGTCCGGCAGCCAGCCGTTCAGATCCACGGAGGCCAGGCAGCCCTGGTATCCGTCCCGGGACGCGATCAGCTTCGGCAGGCTGCTGTACATGCTCTTGGCTACTCCACCGATATACAGCTCTCCTGTGGGATGAGAGGAGACAGACACGCATGTGTGAAACCCTCAGCAGATCACAGTTATCGCATCTGATCAGGGAGCTGGAGTTCACTGTACTGCAAATCTAATTCTGTTCACATTCGTTTCCCTCAGAGCGGTGACTGGATCACACGAGAGAAATGCCACAATCGCTGTGGAGACTGAAATCACTCATGTAGGTTTTGCTCTTCTGCATCATATTAGTCTTTCTCTTTATAGGAAGCCGTTCTGAATCGGACTTTCTCAAACTCATTTTACAGCTTCTGCTGGATCTTTCAGAGATATGAGTCAGATGATATTCATATTAAAAACCCTTTGAGATATAAAACATTCATGTGCAAGATAAAAACAAACAGATGTGATGACAATGCGATGCCACTTTTTAACACAATCACAATAAAATCCATAATCCATAATAGTCCATAATCCATAATAACACTTCCTCCAGTGAAAAAGTGCATCTCCTGTTGTCTCTCACATCAAAATCCAGCCACATATTTGTTTAGAGCTGTTTAAACACTGCTTGATCTGTGCAGATTTCTCTCCTGATTCACACCAGACCACTTTTTCACTGGAGGAAGCGGTTGACTGTTGGCTCTTTGTTTACTGTGGGTGTCGCGGAGTAAGAGAGGGACATCGTGCCCGTGCCGGTAATGGCGGCTGCACCGGAGCGCGCTCACAGAATGGCGGCGACAGCGGAGCCTGTCGGCAAAATGGCGGCAACAACAAAGCACCGTCATGTCACTGCTGCCATCCCCGAGTCTCGTCACGTCACAGCTAATCTCCCAGAGTCTCGTCACGTCACAGTTGATCGTCCAGAGTCTCTTCACGTCACAGCTGATCTCCCAGAGTCTCTTCACGTCACAGCTGATCTCCCAGAGTCTCTTCACGTCACAGCTGATCTCCCAGAGTCTCGTCATGTCACAGTTGATCGTCCAGAGTCTCTTCACGTCACAGCTGATCTCCCAGAGTCTCTTCACGTCACAACTGATCTCCCAGAGTCTTGTCACGTCTCATCTGTTCATTCAGAGTCTTGTCACATTGCCATTTCACTAATCACACGCTCACCAGAAACCAATCACACACACTATATAACACCCATTCAGATCCTGTTCAACGCCGAGTATTGTTTAGCATTTATGCTGTTTAGCATAGCTACTTTTTATGGAGCCAGTTCCCGGTCCTAGTTTGAGTTTCTAGTTCTAGTCTAAGTCTAGTCACGTCTTGTTTCCTGATTACCTGCCTGTCTTGGATTTCTCTCTCGTCTTATCGTCTGGATTCTGTTCGCACCTCGCTTGGATTTATTAGCTGTTTATGGATTACTCGCTTGCCTCAACCTTTGGATTATGTTCGCCGTTGATCGACCTACGCCTGTTTATCGGATTACTCTTCTGTTTTGCCTTCTAAATACCTGTTTGCCATTGTCTGACCCTTACCTGTTTTGACTATGTTTTGGAATAAAGCTTTGCACATGGATCCGCACATTTCTCATCTCAGTCGCCCCGTTACAGAAATACAGTTGAAATAAAATATAAATGTGTATAAAATATGAAAGCACTTACATTTAAATGAAAATGTTTCCTTGGCACTCCTTGGCATTCTTCCTTGGAGTTTAAGCACTCTCAAACGAACAAACTATCATTATAATCACGGAAGCTGTCTACACTCTGAAACAAATCTTGTTTCTGATTCAGTCAGCGAGCGCGAGCACCGAACAGAACTCCGGAAATATGAAATATGGTAAAACATGAGCACATCTCATTTAATGCTTAATCGACACCTTTCATTACTTTTCACTCTGTCAAGTCACCTTTATTTCTATAGCGCTTTATACAATACAGATTGTGTCAAAGCAGCTTCACGGTGTTGTTCGCAACAGATGTAATAGATTTAATTTAATTGTCCCGCCTATGAATATAGTGGAATATAAATAATACTGCTGTGCATGCCACGTGACGCTGGACCAGCACAGATAATAAAGGCTGAGTTCATTACAATGAGAGCACAATGCATATAGCAGATGGAAATAAAAGCTGTTAGCAAATGTTTGCTGTATAAATACAATAAATTATGCTTTATATGAACAGATCAGCAGATTCACTGCACTGAAACCGAACCGTAAAAACGTCTCATCATCACAGAGATGAAGTGGAAGGGGCTGAAGCTGATAATTAATACGAGCTCGTTTGATGACTATATGAAGTCGTGTCGGCGCACAGATGGCAAACGCGCGCGAGCGTCGGTATCACGCATCCAATACACATACACATCAGCGGGACAGGATTAAACTCTCCCACTGCGTCTATTCACACCAATTACTCGCACAGACAAAAGGCCTATTTGATTCCGCAAAGCCTGATACGCGGCTAATGCTCTGAGCTCAGACCAGGAAAGCGGCATGACGCTAACAGCCCTGAGCGCCGTTAGCGTACGTAATATTTGACTGTTTTTACTGTATTTTTGATCAAATAAATGCAGCCCTGGTGAGGCTTTCAGAAACACCGACCCCAAACTTTTGCACAGTAGTGTACACTAAATCATTTTCTCATTGATGTTCAAGCGACGTGGAGTGAGAAATGAACTGAAAGCTTGTGGAGCTTCAGTTTTACAGTCACTCTTGCTTCACAGGTGGGTTTAACAGCGCAGAACATGACTAATCTAGTATTAGTCATGCATTGTGGAGTATAAGTCATGTGGGTAACAGATAGAAAGTTCAACAGTCGGCGAAAACTGAAAAACACCGGTGAAAATAACAAACTCCATTCAGAACGTCTGACTCATTTCTTTGGGCTTTTCTATAAACTTTCATGGAAGCTAACCTGACAGTAAAACCGCAGGAGTGTCCCTCATTTACCACAATGAAGACACAATACCGCAGTAACCAGAGCGGATGTACATCACTGGCTGATCGTCATTCACTTCCTATTCTTCTTTTTACTTGACTGGAGCTGAATAATAATTTGTAAATCTAGTCATGTGATACTGCCACTGTTTTCATGAAATTAGATCCTCATTATCGGTGTTGGGGGTAACGCATTACAAGTAACGTGAGTTACGTAATCAGATTACCTTTTTTCAAGTAACTAGTAAAGTAACGCATTACTTTTTAATTGCATGTACTTTTTAATGTTTATGTGCTACTGTAGATCTAGACTAAATGAGAACATGCATTTACTCATTTCAGATTCAGTACTCCTCGAAATGAGTAAAAACAATGCAAACTCAGAATATGACGGAAACCTGCAATAATTAAATATGTTAAATAACACAAATATCCTTTATGCATTTAATCTCATCTTATTAACCAGTGTCTTTGCTGCTGACCTTCAATGATCCAAATTAACCATACTAGTGAGCAAAAATGATTTTAGATAAGCATAACATTTGTGTTTCATTTTTTTTATTGCTGAAAAGAGAAAAATGAGCCCAGCCTGGATGAGAAAATGTAACGCGACACTAATGTAACACATTACTTTCCACAAAAAGTAACTAAGTAACGCAATTAGGGAGTAACGCAATTTTGTAGTGCATTACTTTTAAAAGTAACGTTCCCCAATTATTACGGTGATTCTCAGTGTACAAATATCTAAACATCCAAGAAAAACAGTACAAAAAAGTGTAGTTTTCTGAGAAAGTGTTCAAAATGAAGAAAGAAACATCTGCCAGTGGGGTCAAAGAAATCAATTTATTTTCTATATGAATTAAACTGGAAATCTAAAGAAGAAAAACTGAAATATTTTCTTGTAAAACATACTCAGATATTTTTTGTTTGTTTTATTTACTTGAATTTATATATTTACTAGAATTTTTTTTTTTTTTTTACAAATATTCATACTGGAAAACAAGACAAAAATTCACTTCTGCAGTGCATTTAACAAAAAAAAAAAAAAGCACATCAAGCATCATGAAATTTTACTAGTATTGCAGTTAACTTCTGATACTTTGGTGACCCCATTTGACTCTAGTAAAAGTCTATGTTATTGTGGCAGAAGCGAGCACCAGGTGAAGGAGCGCTCTGGTGTTCAGTTTTTAACCCTGACTCTGATCTGCTCACGCTGAGCTCTGATCCCCCTGCGGCTCGTACCTTTGAGGTCCAGGTTCCTGGCTCCGTTAGAGTGCTGTGTCACGGTGCGAGAGTCGATCTTGAGCGTGTGCACGTTGGTGGTGTCGCGTGAAACCACCACGTTGTGCCACTGATTGTCATTGAGCGGCTTCTCCGAGTTTCCCTTCATGAGAGACGGGCCGTTCCCCAGGTCAAACACATAGTGGACGTACCTGAAACACACACACACACACCGCATTAAAGCCTGACAGAACCTGCTCAGCCGATTACACAGCACGCCATGATTATACTGAAATCACGCTGTGTTTTATCACTCTTTCAGTCTAAATGTGCACTTAGTGTCATTCCTACATGTAGTTTTTGTTCAGTCTAATACACACTTTTTAAAATCTAAATGCACGCTTTGTTTAGTTTTTATTCAATCCAAACATAAAATGTATTTAGTCTTCATTAGACTAAATGCACACTTTTAGTTTTTATTCAATCAAAACGTACATATTTGTTTAGTCTGTTAGTCTAAGCATATGCTTTTAGTTTTTAATCAAAACAAAAAACATACAAACTACTTTATTTAGTCTAAACATGCTTCATTTCATTTTTATTTGATAAAAATGTAAAAAAAAGTTACAACTTTAGTCTAAACGTGTGCTTTATTTAGTTTTTATTTAAATGTTCACTTATTTTAGTCTTTACTTAGTCTAAATGCATGCTTTATTTTTATTTAATCTAGACACACACTTTATTTAGTCTAAATGCATGCTTTATTTTTTATGTAATCTAGACACACACTTTATTTAGTCTAAACGTGTGCTTTATTGAGTGCAGCAGAACGAGAGGACATAAACGTGTGCTGATGTGAGGTGTGAGCGCTTCCTTCATTTCTCTTCATTAAATGAAAAAATGAAATGAATTCTGCGCTCTGTTGTAGTTTTGTCCAACTGGGTTGGTTTTGGTGTGTGGCAAGGTGCCAGGTGATTTGCACGGTTTTAAAGACTATATAATGAAGAAACTGCACTGATTAAACACAGAAATCAGTTTCATCGACTGGCATGAAATGTGTTGCGAGGAGCTGCTCGTCACCAAATCCACCGGGATCTTCTAGTAAATGTCTTGATAATGCCAAATCACTGGAGCAGATTTCTGAATACGGCACACAAACCACACCAGCTTTTCTTGTCCGCGTTAGAGTTCTGCAGACAGAAGCGGTTCTGATGGAACTCTGTCCTTATTTTCACACCACAAATGAGCGACTCTTCACTGAATGAAACTCATTTCCTGCGCTCCAGTTATTCTAATACCGCAGAAAATGTTGCTCTCTGGTGTTTTCCCTACATTTACTGTCATTTGCCTTCAAATATCGATTATAAAACACTGCATTCATTGTGTTCATCACAGATAAGAACTGTGAAAAATGAGCTTTGACTGGTCATAAGAGCGTGAATACTGACTGCGCTGAAGCACTTAAACACAACAAAGAGCATCCACACATCTGTTGCTCAGAAACACTCTTCTTCTCCACAGTACATCTGCTTTCACTCGTCTTCCCCACATCACCGGCGTGATTTCAATCGGCTGATACTGTACGCCTTCATTTCACACATCTCACACTTCATTTCAGGTCACAATCTCCATCTGTGTATTTATCATGCACCAGATTCACCTGCAGTGAAATATGATGAATGCTAAAGCATTTTATTTAGAAATTTAAGTTAAAGTACTAAAATGAAACAAAAACTGAAATGAAAATAAATTATACCTATAAAAATATGATTAAATATTAAAATGATAAATGATAAAAATTATGAAAGCACATAACAAAAGCTTAAACTAAAACGAAAATGAAAACAAAGTATGAAAATAAAAGTTGAAGTAATACTAACTGAAATACAAATAAATGAAGCCTACAAAAATATAAAGAAAAATAAAATTAAAATCAAAGTGGAAAAAGTCGATTCAAAATATGAATAAATACTGTAATAGTATATAAGTAATACTAAAATAACACTGTCGAACAAACCATTAAGCAAACTGCTGTGTTGTTTTATGTTATAGATAAATTTAAGTACTAAAAATACTAATGCTGAAATAAATGACACCTATAAAAGTATATTAAAAATGGTAATGCATTTTCTGATTTATCTGCTAACGTCCTTACTGAGATTGGATGTAAAACGTCCTGCTTCAAATGCAATCAATAACTTATTTCTAATACGAGTACTTTAAATACTGTTTTGCCGGGTCAGAATTTAATGGGGAATTGTGTCAAAAATATCATCAAAATTAATTCAATTACCCCAAAATTTCAAGATATAATAAAAAAAAAAAAGTATGATATCTTGTTTTTATATTATCCAATATGATTAACATATAATTAAGCAATATGTCAAGAGCAAGAGAGCTGTTTTCAGGAATATGAGCACAATTGCAAGCATGATACTGATTTTATACAAACAAGTGAATATTAATTGAACTGCATTTTACTCACGATTTCTGCAAGAAAACAGCTCCAAACAAAGCCACAGCGGAACTGAATGAATCAGCTGCTTCGAAGGAATCGTTTGAATAAATGATTCAGTGACTGCCACCTAGTGTCATATTTAAAAGTATCGTTTTATTTTTCCATCATATTTTCTATAATAAAAAAAAAAAATAATAATAATAATAATAAAACATTAGTGTTAGGGTTAACAATTCAGATGAAACTTCCGTGCCACCTCTGCAGTGCAAAGATGAATTCTGTCGGATTTCATGTGATTGGTAACAGATCTAGAAAGTCTCTTAACATTGTAATTGCATTTTTGATTAAACAGCAGACATTTCCCAAATGTGGATCTTTCAGATGAATCTGAGAAGTGCTGGTTCGGTTTAGTCTTGACTACAGCACTACCCAGAACATTTTCTCTATATTTCATTACTACATTGTTATTTATAACTTATTATTGTCTATTCTCTTTATCATTAGTGTTTTTATTACCTTATATTATATGTATGTCTGCACTATGTTTGTACTTTCTGTACTGGAAGCTCCTGACACCAAGACGAATCCCTGCTGTGTGTAAACACACTTGGCAATAAAGCTCTTTCTGATTCTGCTTCTGAACATTAAACTGTGACGAGAAAAAGTGAGAAGCTGCGACTGACCCTTTGACCAGCTCCACCACGATGAAGTCGCTGCCGTCGCCGCTGTTGAAGAGCAGCAGGCCGTCAGTGCTGGTGGTCTTGAACTGGAAGAACAGGTGCATGGATGCGTACGCCTGCAGCGTGGCCAGCGCCAGGTAACTGCCTTTATTGCGGAAGGTCACGGGGTCGGCGATGATGAGGCGCATGCCGAAGCGGGCGTTCAGCTCGCAGTACGAGATGTCTCCGTTCTTACACTGGTCCAGGTACGGCACGCCGTTCAGCGTCAGGCCCTGCAGGTGCCCGATGAAGTTAGACGGCACCACGGAGATGAACCTGCGCTCCGTCATGATGCCCGTCTCGATGTTGTGGAACTCCAGACGCGTGTGATCACCGGTCATCTGACCTGCAGAGCCAGTCCAAGAGTCACTGAATACACAACACATACTGGAATGCAGGAATCACACCACTGTGCTTCCCCAGTGTAATCACAGCACATTACCACAAATGTCTTATATTACACATCGTATGAAATGCTATCTTTAAATACTGTATGCCAATCAGGCTTTATCTACTTAAATAAGCACTCATTTGCATACATTTCCAGAACACAAATCTAAAGCCCAGTTCAAACTTCTTCTGATTCTGTTGTCATATTAGAGTTAAAGGTTTTTCCAGAGGGGATTCTGGGTTTCTCTTTTTATCACTCCATACATACCGCGAACAGACAGAAAACAAACACATTTTCAACATGTTTTTAGGAATAAAATGTTGTATAAACACAGGTGAGTGAAATATGAACAAACCCCTCAGTAAAAACCTTCAAAATATATATATATATAATAGCATTCAGTGCTGCTGAAGAGAAATAATCTTTTGAAAATATGGATTGTAATTGAAATCTACACATGCAAACACATTAAAAGTAATAAAATTAAGACTTAAATGTGTATTTTGGATGTTTTCTTTCCACTAGACTGAAAGAAGATGATAAAACTACAGTAGCCACTCAGAAATGCTCTGTGTCTGTCAGTAATCTCTGCGCTCTGATTGGCTGACATTTATATGGTGGGTGGGGTTTCAGGCTTTAATCAGCGATTGTTTGCTATTAAACTGCACAGCCTGAGTTTCATCTTCCTCTCACTGGAGCTCATGAGTAAATGTTTCTCTGTCAATGAAGCATGAATGGCATTTCTACCTTCCACAGTAACGTTATCCACGGACAGCTGCAGGTTCCTCCCGCGCCGGGTCACTTTAACCGAGTGCCACTCGTTATCGTTGAGTTTCTGACCCGCCGTCAGGATCTCTGGACCTTTACCTGCAGCAGGAGAGAGTGGTCAGATACACACACACACACTCACACTCACACACACGCATGCACACGTACACACATACACACACACACACTCACATACTCTCACACACACTCACATACTCTCACACACACACACACACACACACACACACACACACCTGCGTCACTCCTGTACTGCTGTGTTTATGGCGTCTCTCTCATGGTGTCTCTTTCTCTCTGTCTGGCTCAAGGACAGGAAGTGCATTCCATGGTCCAGTCATTTAATATCTATGGAAAATATATCTTATGGTCACACACAACACACACTTCCTGTTCACTCCATCCCATCTCCATCTGAATATACACTCATTCTTTCATCTCTAAAAATACCATAAGCATTGTTACTCTTTTAACACCTTTAAATTGCATGCAGACACCTGTATCCTGTGTGGCAGGCGATGTAATGTAATGTACGCCTCTTAACCTCCTGAGCCTTCAGGCTTTTACCATTGGGCTGATGCTTTCCCATGGGATTCAAAGTGATCTTCTTCCATGGGGCGAATGAGGACGTATGCATTACATTGCTTCAAAAATAAAAACAAAACCATAACAAAAACATATTTTGTTACTAATGTCTGACACTAATGTCTGCTATAGCTCCCATTGTGGCAACACTGTTTTGAATTATTTACTGTACAGTTAAATGTTTCTGAGCACAACAACTGTATGGTATTTGTGAGGATTTCCAGTCAGGATTTTGACCGTATCATAGTACTGAGTCTGCTCTCATCAGAGTTACAAATGACCTGCTCTTATCATCTGATCGTGGTTCTTTTTCTCTATTAGTGCTACTGGATCTTAGTGCTGCGTTTGACACTATCGACCACAACATTATTTTGAATAGACTAAAAAATTATGTTGGCATTAGTGGAATTGCATTGTCATGGTTCAGATCTTACTTATCTGACCGCCATCAATTCGTAGCAGTGAATGAAGAGGTATCATATCGATCACAAGTGCAGTATGGAGTACCTCAAGGCTCAGTACTAGGGCCGTTACTCTTCACGCTTTACATGTTACCCTTGGGAGATATCATCAGGAAACATGGTGTTAGCTTTTACTGCTATGCTGATGATACTCAGCTCTATATTTCTTCCCGGCCCGGCGAAACATACCAATGTGAAAAACTAACGGAATGCATAGTTGATATAAAAAACTGGATGACTAGCAATTTCCTACTACTAAATTCTGAAAAAACAGAGGTTTTAATTATTGGACCAAAAACCTCCGCATGTAACCTAGAACACTGTCTAACACTTGATGGCTGCTCTGTCAATTCTTCGTCATCAGTTAGGAACCCAAACACAGATGGTGGATCAGCACCTAGAGAGGACCTCTACAGCCCTGAATGTCAGCGGAGACCAGGACAACTAGACACTTGACTGATTGCACAGACACTATTGGAAGAGACCTGAACTGGATGATGACATCACTGAATCATCAATGAACTGACTTTAGCTGAAAAAATGACTCTGTGATTGTCTTCTTGCATTACTGGCAAACTATGTTCCCATTTGACACTGTAAAGCTGCTTTGACACAGTATTGTATAAAGCACTATAGAGATAGAATATAGAAATAAAGGTGACTTGACTTGACTTGACACACACACACACACACA